TCCTGTGGAGACCGATGCCCGGGCTCAGCTTTCCGGTTGGAACACTGGAACAGACCCTCCCCGCCCCCCTCCACACTAGGAGGTTATCAAAGGGACAGGAAGATGTAAAGATGGGGAACACAGAAGTTCTGCTTAATGCAAACCTTTCTTGCTTAACGTAAACCTTTGCCCTCGTGGGGGAGGGGGAGGAGACTTGGAACAGTTCTGGAATCTCCTGAGGAATGCTTTGGAAGGCATCCTGGTTTCCCCCTGGTACGGGGCCTTCCAGGCAGCCCCTATTAATTAGTATGCACCACAGTCTTGGTCGACTGGAGTCACCCAGGCAGCCCGAGGTCCCGGGCAAGCACGCACTCCCTCCCGGAGATGCTGGGACGGGCAGTACCCGCGAGGCTGGGTCAGGGGGGGCACACGGCAGTGTGCCCACTTCTCGGGCGAGGCCGCAGCCCACGGGAGCCGGAGACATTTCCCTGAGTCCAGAACTCTCCAGGAATTGTCTCTTTGCCTCCATTTACACGATAACCTAAAAGGCCTCGGCGTATGTTCTGGGCCGTCCAACTGGCTTCCCGGGGACAGGGTACTGCCGCCATCTGCTGTGAGCACGAGCCACGGCAGAGGACACCCTCCTTCCTCGTTACGAGCCCTTGATGGGGTAGGCTCAAGAAGCGAGTAAAAGCTGTCCCAGTCCCAGTGCCCTGTGTGAATGGTGGGGGAATTTCAACCACACCGCAGCAGACGTGGGCCGAATTCAAAGGGAACTTTCTGGAAGGCGGCCCTACAGAGAGGCTCACTTACTCTTCTGTTTCCCTGCCGAGGCTCCTCGCGACGGCACAGGCCCCGCGGTAAAGGGCCTCTGAGAACCCGGTGAGGACACTGGCAAAAACCGTCCCCCCAAAATCGACTTCTCCAGAACTCTGGAAATCAACTAAAGGCTCGCAGCAACCAGGGAGCGTTTATTTAAGAAAAGCGATGGATTCTCAGCCCAGGGGAGCTCTGTGGCATTGTCACTCGCCCTCCGGCCAGCCCCGGACCCCACCTCCGAGGTGCCCTGAAAACCAGCAGCCGCAATTGGGTAAAAGCCAGCGACCTAGCGGCCCCCGGAAGGATCACGCTGGGGTTGCTGCTCTTTGGAAGCCCCACGCTCAGAAAACTCCCGATTTGCCCATCAAGCAGTTCCCTGGAAAACTCCACCTTGCAAAGCTTGTCTTTATACTTGACCTGCCCGCTTTTCCCCACGGTATCTATCAAAAACAATCAGCGGGCATTTCGCTGACACGGGAGCAAACAGCAAGATGACAAAAAAGCTGAAAAAAGAAGAGAAAAGAAAAGAAACTGTTGGAAAATGAGATGTCCGAGGGGGACCTGAAAAGGCTCTCCTGGGAGCCCAGGGGAGCACTGTGTGTCGAGCAGCGCCGCTCACGACAGACCTCACCAAGACGGGTCGGGAAGGGCTGAGGCAGAGACTCTCCAGCTAGACCTCGACATCCTGCAAGGTCTTCCTGGAAAAATGAAGGAGATAAACAAAAACTCCGGAGAACTCGCAGCTGGCTGACGTGCCCGCAGAAAGTGCCGGAGGGAGTCTCGGGCCGGAGTGAGGTCACCAGGTAATCACAGAGCGCCAGCAAGGGGAACCGGCAGGTAATTACACAAGACAGGATAAGTGAATGCAGTTTTTGAAACTTTTTTCTTCTGTTTGATTTCAAAGATGACTTCACAGGGGCGCCTGGGGTGGCTCAGTCGGTTAAGCGTCCGACTTCGGCTCAGGTCATGATCTCGTGGTCTGTGAGTTTAAGCCCCGCGTCGGGCCCTGTGCTGACCGCTCGGAGCCTGGAGCCTGCTTCGGATTCTGTGCCTCCCTCTCTGCCCCTCCCCCGCTCAAGCTCTGTCTCGCTCTGTCTCTCAAAAATAAACGTTAAAAAATTTTTTCTTAAATGTAAAAATAAAAAAAATATTTTTTTTTAATTTTTTTTTATTAAAAAAAATTTTTTTTTCAACGTTTATTTTTTTTTGAGACAGAGAGAGACAGAGCATGAACGGGGGAGGGGCAGAGAGAGAGGGAGACACAGAATCGGAAACAGGCTCCAGGCTCTGAGCCATCAGCCCAGAGCCCGACGCGGGGCTCGAACTCCCGGACCGCGAGATCGTGACCTGGCTGAAGTCGGACGCTTAACTGACTGCGCCACCCAGGCGCCCCCAAAAAAAATATTTTTAAAAAATTAAACAGAAAGAGGACTTCATAAACCAGTAACAAATCTTGTTACTTTTAACAACTGGTGCACTGGAACATCTCTCTCGGCCGGCCCTGAGCTCAAGAGAGGCTGGTGGGGGCGTCAAGGTCCCGGGGACAGACCTCTCACGGCCTTCGCCGCAGGCAGATTTAGTCCGCGAACATGCAGTGTGTACAAGGACCCACGATGACGGATGGTGACGGGTGCCATGCTGTTCGATCAACCATGTGGAGGCCTGGAAGGGAAGTCTGGGGAAGGGCGTTGTCCAGGGAGGAGAGTCTGGGAACCACCGAGGCCAAAGTGACCAGAGAACAGCCTCGGTGGCCGGTGACGTTAAGCGCCAGCTGGATCGTGCTAGGCTTCAAGCGTCGGGAGTTTCGATGTTGGCACGATTGTTATTAGAGAATTGTAAGGAGGGAGTGACGTGAGGCAATTAGTTTTCAACAAGCTGACTTGGTGGGAAGCGGGAAGGGTTTGGAGGGCGTGCCACCCGCCGCAGGAAGCCAGTGTGCGGCGGGGACAGACCGCAAGGGAGATGGGAGGGGAGAGGGAGAGGCGGCCCTCCCCGCCCCACTTTCCAGCGTTAGCATCCAGCGGCCAGTGGTGTCATTTCCTGAAATGGTCTAGGGGGAGGCCCAGGTGGAGGCTTGATCAAGTATTCAATTTGCACATAATAAATCTGAGATGCCTAGGAGGCACGGAAGAAGAGCCCAGAGGTCAGGGCGGGAGGTGTGAGCTTTGGAGCCTTCGGGAAACACGCTAGTGAAATCTGTGCCTGCAGAAACCCCACGGAAACCCGGGTAGAGGGTGCAGGCAGGGCAAGGGCCCGCTGAGGTTTGGCAGAGAAGGAAACAGTAGACCCGTGCCCACGGCGTGATGGAGGAAAACCGGGGGAACGTGGTTTTGCAGAAGCAGGGGGAGGGCTTGCAAAGTCACCGGCCGTGTACCATGCTGCTGAAAGGTTGAGAAAGAAACCAGGGACACCACTGGGTGTGGTGACAAGGGGGTGACGTGCGTGAGAGGTGTGGGGGAGATGTGGCTGGCGGTCTAGACAGGGTTAAGTGGCCGGGCAACCTAGGTTCAGCGAAATTCCATCACGTTCATTTAAATTTGTAATGTGATTTTAGAACTGTATTTATTGTGAGCTGGAGAGTTTTGAATACTTTTATATCTGCACGTCCTGTACTTCAATGAATCTAAAACCACATTTATGCACCAAGAAACATGTGATCTTTCACAACGCAACGCTTGTTCACTGATCGCAAGGCTCATATTGATTTCAGAAATGTTAAAACGTGTTAAAAAAAAAAAAAAAGAAAAAAAAGGCCCAGAAGTGGTTGAACACGGTTATTAAGTGACAAAGAATTTAAGTCAAATCTGGCGGTTGCCAGTTTCTTCAGAAGCCCAGCTACCACATTCGCACAGAGGACACAAAACGGATTTGGTTACTGACATTAACCAGTCGCGAACCCCTTTAAGACGGTTTCCTCCCCTAGAAGTGGGGCGGCACCCTCTTCGCGCAGTGGAGCCAACCCGAACATCCGCACAAACAGGTAACACCAACCACCCCTGCCGTCACCTGCGGGTAACCAGCTGGTGGAGTCGACGCCCCGCCCCGGGGACACACGAGGGACACGCCAGACGCTCTCTGTCCAACCATCCAACCAGTAAGGCAATCGGCCGTCTGCGGACAGGCTCAGCGCCCCGAGGGGTGGGACCGGCTGGCCCTGTGCAAGGTCAGATGCGAGCTCTACAAGGGTGCAGATTTCCCCGCGGTGTTCGCGACACTCAGAACCACCTCGCTGTACTCGAGCTGACATTTAAACAAAACGTCAGAAAAATCAAGAACGGTAAACACCTAGCGACCAGGTGAACCGGGCCACAGAGAGGAGCACCACGCCACCTCCAGGCCCCCCGTGACAGCTGAACCTGCGTCCGGCACGAACGTGCTGCTCGAGGTTCCCGTCGTACGCAGAAAGCTTGGGACGCACTGCGTCCGGATCTCGCGCTGTCCCCCACACCGAATGCCCGTACAGAACCTGAGGCCTAAGGATCAACCCCGTTAGTAACAAGCGACGATACCGTGTTGTCAAAAAAACCCCACTGCTGTTTCAACGTTTGAGGAATCGCGCCACTCAACCTCGGCTGGACCTACAGTCGACGGGGCGGCCGCTGTGCACACCGAAGGCTCCTTCCTCCTCCTTGCGGCTCCCGGTGGAGCTGAAGGCGGTTCTCGGAGTCTCTCACGCGACACTCAACCGGCCGTATTCTCCGACCCCCGCAACGACTCGGCGTGGTGGGGTCTGGATCGGATCCTGTCTGCGGGGGACACCCGGCTTGGCGTAAGGAGAAAGAGGAAGCGGTCCCAACTCCTCCTTTCCCTCAAGCAGCCCACGGGCAAGCGCGAGGGAAGTGTGGGGAAGGCTGGGCCAGGCGCACCCCCGCGTGCACCCCGCTCAAGGGGGGCGCTCTGAGGGGGGAGGGGAGGGCGGGCACCCCTGGGGACTAACTCCCTCGGACGTCGTCGGTGGAGGGCCACCCCAGCTCTTGCCAGCTGCCCGCCGGGTGGGCCCCACCAGCCACCAGTCCCCCGGCCCCCCCCCCCCCAACCCCTGGGTCACGGGCCCCCAGGCTGCACTCACCTCTGCCTGCGGCCACCCCCTCCACCACTTCCTGCACTCCAACCTGAGCCTTCCTCAAGGCCAAGGTTGGGAGACAAACCCCCAGGAGGCCAGGGACTCTCCCTTAGAAGCCTCGCCAAGTAGCACCAGGGACTAAGGTTTGCAGCTATTTTATTTACAAGTATACATTTAACACAATGAAATAAACACTGATATATCGAAGCCTAGTTAATAGTAGTGTAACAATATGTATCATTTGGATGATTACATTATTTTAAACAACAAACTACACTGAAAAATTAATGCCGATAAAATTCTTGGTCATAATATTATTAAGAAATACAATATATAAATTGAAAATATGATTGCTTAAAATTTGAAAATGGAAGTGAACTCATTTGGACAGAGTCAGAGTTTAACATAATCTGAGAGGGGGGTGGGTGGGGCCAGAAAAAGCTCTGACCCAAACGAAATCTTTCAGGTTAACAGAAGGAAAAAGCAGCGGAGTTTCTCTTGAAGGATAACGGGCAGTCGGCTTCTGCAGGCAGGACCGGCTCCCGGGGTCCTCGGGCTCCGCGGCGGGATCACATCACCGAGCAGGAAGACTTTCCTTGTGACGCGGCCCCATCGATTTTTTCTGCCTCCAAAATTATCCTTCTAAAAACGTCAACAGCAGTCTGAAATCAAAGACACAGCCAGACAGCGTTAGGTTTAACGTGGAGCCCTGGTGCCTGACTGGTGCCAGTCCCGCAGGCAGGACTGAAGAAAGCCCGCCGCCACCCGCCGTCCCCCACCCCTGCAGGTGGGGGTGCAGCTGCGGAGAGACCCCAGAACCGCCCAGACCCCGACACCACCTGACCGGAGAACTAACCTCTCATCCTGCTTCTGGTCCCCGTCATCAACGGTCACTGCGGGCTGCCCCTGGGTCTCCCCCGACCCCACGGCGCCCCTGGAGTTTCTGGGTCCGGTTTGAGGACCCCTCACCCGTCGGCTCCCGTTCCCATCAGAACACCCCTCTCCCCTGCAGCGCGTGTCCCCTTCGCGGCCCGGCTCCCACGGGCCCTAAACCAGGGCGGGGCTTTTCCTGCTCCTCGCGAACCCTCCAGACCTCTGCCTCCCACTTCCTTAAAACGCTCAGCTTCGACTCGTAGGCAGCCGTGCAATCATATAAGCCACCTTCGAGCCACGTGCAAACCCTGAGTCACCTCCCCCGTTCCTTCTGGGGCAGTGTCACTGTGTCCAACACCGCTCTCCGCCCCCGGGACCTCCTCGCCTCCCGTGACCGGGGGACCGGTCTTTCTCAGTGGTAGCCTCTCAGCCTGGTGGGCAGCGCAAGGGCCCTTCACAAGGAGTCACTGTTATCTGGAGCCGGGAATCCCCTCTCAGGCGGGACACCAGCCCCCGAGGATCACAAGATGCCCCTGTTCTCAAAGGCCTCAAGGGGCTGCGCCTAGACCTTGTCAATACCAACGGTCACCCCTCCAACACCCAAGGCCAAGAACCCACCGTGTCCATTTCCTTCTCTCTCTCTCTCCCTCTCACTTTTCTTCAATATCCCAAACTCCACAATTCTCGGCCCCACAGGGACCAGCTTCCTTGATCCGAGGACACGTCCCCGTCCCTTAACCACTCGTCCCCCTCACTCTGTTCCCGGCACCACCGCCACCGGCTTCACCTTCTCTGCCCGCAGCCACAGCCAGCACCCGCCCGGTCACTGTCTCCCTGGGACCCCGACTCCAAAGGGGGCCCTTGGCGCGCCCCCCCCCCCCCGCCCCGCCGATGGAGGTTCGTGCCTTGCCTTTCTCCTGGAATTCCTAGCACCTCTCCCCGTTCTCACGCTCGGCTGCTGTGTCTTACAGTTCGCCGGGAAAACGCGCAGCGTCCAGGAGAGAACTCTGCATCCTGTCCGCCAAGCTGACTGCCCCTCGAGCCTGGCCGCACCTGCCCTGCTGCCGCGGACGAGGTGGCCCTGACTGGGCGAGAGCTGCCCGCCCCCACCCTCTTCTCTGAAGGTCGCTGGCTGCAGCGAGCTTTCCTCCTTTCCCAGGACTGTGCAAACACGTCGTTTATTTCACCCTACGAAAGTGCACAGAAAAAGGCCTGGAAAAACCCGTGCCAGACTCTCCCCGATTCGGTGTGCCTGGAATCCGGCGTCCTAGATAAACCTCAGAATCCTTCTTGCTTATCTGTGTGATCTGACTGTGCCCAAGTGTGCTCTCTTTCATCACATCGCTGAAGTAGAGCCGTGGGTCGCCACAACAAACACGCCAGGACCGCCAACTCACCCCCCCAGTTGAGCAAGAGAGGGTAGCGTTCTCACGGACTCCCATCGCTCTCACCATCGAGGCTCTGTTAACAAAACCCACTGAACTCTGCTTACGAGGTACGTGAGACAAGTTACAAACAAGCTATGCTTGAAAATTTGAAAATCAATAAAATTGACTTGATTGATCTGAAAATCAATAAAACCTCTGAGCGGTTCACACAGGCTGATCTCTGATCACATGACTACTGGGATGCACGCGTGTGTGCGTGTGTCTTTACTACACGACTTCTCTCCCCTGTTCTATTCGAATAGCAGTGAGCATCCTGGCAGGAATCTGGGTTAGAATCACTCACACCTGTAATGTAAGGGATTAGAGTCCCTTTGGGCGGTGAGAGACTCACCAGGCTTCGGCTTGCCTCATCTCTTTAGCACATTGCAAGACGGTGTGGGCAGGAGTACGAGAGACGTGACAGGGAGCGGACACATCTAGACAGGCCTTTAAGATAACTGACCAGGACACGGGTTTCCCAAGGACCGCGGGTCACTGTTGTATTTACCCGATTTGGGTACAAAGATCTTCTGGCCTTAAAGGACTCGCTTCCTGTCGGAGAAGGCACCTGCTGTTTGGACAGCAGGGCCAGCATGGAACAGACCACAGTGAGTGGATCACTCGATCCCTGATCTTCTCTGGCTTAAGACGTTTGAGGCTGCCATGCAGGACCCTTGCCTTCTTTTACGTTTCTGGCTACTATCCGATAACTTTGCTAAATGTATCAAAGCCGCAGACAAGGACAGTAGTGGGAATCTTTTCTTTTTAAGCCTTCGGCACAATTCCTCTTTTCTCTGGTGTTCAAAAAGCACCAGGCTACCCTCTACAGGAAACACAAAGACGAAAGAGCACACCCGTCCAGAATCACGTTACAATCCTTAAGCTCCAGGGACGTACGGCGTAAACCAGAGAGGAGGCCTGCACCCCGACACCAAACGGCCTAAGAACGCACCTCAAGCAAACCACTCGAGGTCATTCTCAAGAGGAGACGTGACCCCGAGGCAGCGGCCCTTCCTAGGCACTGCCTCTTCGTCACACTGGAGCGCAGGGCCCGCTCGGGACGGATGTGCTCGAGGGGGCCGGCAGGAAGGACACACGCGGAACGCGGCGCACGCTCCGCGCGGGGGTTACGCGAGCAGTTGAACGACACTGCTGCCGATGCCAGTTTAATTATCGTGTCCGATGGGACAGGTGCTCGAGGACCCTCCGATTTTCACCCGAGAGGAAGAGTGAAGTCAGCGAACAGAACCAAGGTGGCTGGGGCCATTCGGCTGCCCTCCCCAGCTTGACGAACGTTTTTTACATGAGGTGTAACCGACACGTGACGCGGTGTTAGTTTAAGGAGCACAACTAACGATCTGACAGTCGTGGGCACTGAGAAACGATCACCCCAGTAAGTCGACGGCCACCGCCGCAAGGTTACAACCGTTGTTCTTGTGAGAACTTTTGCCAGCTACTCTCTCCGCAACTTCTTTCCTTCTGTAATTTTTTTTTTTTTTTGACGTTTATTTTTGAGAGAGAGCGTGAGCAGGGAAGGGGCAGAGAGAGAGGGAGACACAGAATCCGCAGCAGGCTCCGGGCTCTGAGCCATCAGCCCGGATCCCGATGCGGGGCACGAACCCACGAGCTGTGAGATCATGACCTGAGCTGAAGTCGGACGCTTAAAGGACCGAGTCACCCAGGCGCCCATCAGCAACTTTCGAATACAAACACAAACACCACAGTATCGTTAACTGTAGTCATGCCGTATGCTACACCCTGGGACTTACTGATCTTGTAAGTGGACGTTCTTACCTTCTGACCACCTTCAAACTGTTACTATGCAGATTTTCAAGCACACAGAAAAATGGAAACAACCGTGTAACCATCAGCCAGCCCCCCATCTAGAGTCAACAAACGTTAACGTCCTTGCTCGCTCGCTCTGTCACCCAACTGCCCCATTTGAAAGTAAGCTTCAGACGTTAGGAAACTTGGGCCCTAAATACTTTGGTTTGCATTTCCTAAGAATGTGGACATTCTCTTCATCATTCCAGTACTGCCACTGCATCCAAGGAAATGAAAGTATTTCCCTAATATATCCAGAACGTAGTAAAATCTCTCCAATGGACCAAAGATGTCTTTTACATTCCAATCGAGATTGACAGAGTCTGTAATCCACAGTGGCTATTCCTCCCCAAGAATGCTTTAACTTTCTCTTAATGTTTATTTTAGAGAGAGAGAGAGAATGAGAGAGAGAGAGAGAGAGAGAGAGAGAGAGAGAGAGACTGCGCACACGAGAAGGGAGGGGCAGCGAGAGAGAGAGGGACAGAGGATCCAAAGTGGGCTCTGAGCTGTCAGCACAGGGCCTGACACAGGGCTTGAACTCACAAACTGAGACCATGGCCTGAGCTGAAGTCTGATGCTTAACTGACGGAACCGGCAAAGCACACCCCCCGTGTCCCCCCGCACCCCCCCACCCCCCCAAGAACACCGTAATCTCTATTATGCTTTGCTCACGCCACAGTCCTTCTCCTCCTGTCCACCGGAAAGCACGGTATAGACAGAGAGGACCAAACGTGGGGTAGGTTTAAACTCTGAGCTCCTACATCATATATAAATAGACCTAAGAGTGATCTAAGAAAACTCATTTACATCTTTGGACCTTAAACTCCCTTCCAGAATGAGATAGTGCAACTAAATGATCTTAAGGATAGGCCAGACACCTAATAAATGTTTGCTTTAGTTCCATTAGTAAATGAAGGCATTTCTTACGATCTCGACCCCTCGTATGAGTTCTATGCGCAATCAGGAGCTGGGCAGAGTCCCATAAATCCCTTGTTAGCTGGCACTTGGGAACCAATTACACAGATTTAATATCCCCCATCATCCGAACCCAGGGACCAAGGGATCGGACGAGCCCGGGGCACCTGGCTGACCGAGCCCCTACCATACAGGCACGCCGAAGGCATCCGCTGTGCCCGGCATTAGGGAGCGCACAGTGGTAAATGACACGGCCTTGGATTCCAGAATGAACTAAGGGGGAGAAGGGAACAGAACCTTGAGCCGGGGAAAAGCGGCAGGGGTGGGAGAACGGGCGCCAGGCCCACCGTCGGCCGCCACCCTTCCCGACCTGCTGTTTCCTCACAGAAATGGACACCGACTACTCTTATTATTCGAGGATCAAACAAGAGAACATGTTGAAAATACTTTCAGAACCGGAAAACGGCAAAGGCTATAGAACGTCGTCCGAAGGTAAGCGGTTAACGAGAGACAAGACAGGTCAGGGGGGAACACGGGTGAAGGCTGCCATTCTCAGAGTGCCCACTGTGTTCAAGGAGCGAGCACAACAAATAAACATTAAAAAAAAAAGGGGGGGGGGGGCGCCTGGGCGGCTCAGCTGGTCAGGCATCCAACTCTTGATTTCGGCTCTAGTCATGACCTCGCGGTTCATGAGTTCAAGCCCCGCACTGGGCTCTGCACTGCTAGTGTGGAGCTTGCTTGGGATTCTCCCTCCCTCCCCCTCCCTCTCCCTCTCTCTCCCCCCCTCGCCCCTTCCCTGCTCGCACGCGCTCTCTCTCAAAATCAATAAACTTACAAAAAAAAAAAAAAAAAAAAAAAAGGAACATCTGCAGGGCTGATATTGGGAACAGACGCCTGGAAGACGGTTCTCTGCAATTTCTACGTTAGAAACAATACACATGCGTCTAGCCCCACTGCATCCGACAGAAAAAGGACGTAGGTGCGGGCACAAAATTTTTATTGCCACAATGACCTAAGACCATCACTGCTTCTTTTCTACGTCTGGATTATTTCTGGACCAGCCCCGAATACAGAACAAAAATAATCATAAACGTCTACAAACCAGTGCTATCAACTCCCGTTTATCCTACAAATATCCTAGGTCCCGTCATAAGCGGAATACTGCCAGCCACCCGAAGACGGACGCTGGAGAGGGTGGAAGAAGGACACAGGGGAAGCAGGAGCGGCACAGCTGGAGGGGCCACAGGCCGACCGCGGAGACACAGCCCGGGGCCGACGGCTGCAGCGTCGGAGGCCGTCTACGAAACGAAACACGTACCTGATTTTCTTTAGCAGAAGATTCCAAAAAAGCTGCGTTCCAAGACTCTGCTAATGCTTTCCCTTCTTCATAACTGATCACCCTGAAGGAAAAAGAAGATTCTAATTAAAGTACTTGGCTCTTTCTTTATAAAACATCTATAATTATTTATGAACCAGGCTCTACTTTTAGCGATCGCTTCCCGTGTAAAGCGGAAGACCGCTCTCTGCCCAATATTCCTACCCAGCGTGTAACATACAGCAGCATTTTAATTACGCCTGGGCCGGGGAATGGGACGGACACGGCCTTGCTGGGTTACCCATGCTCCTGCGAGCCCTCCAAGTTCAGAGGACACGACTGCGCGTTCCTGTAACACTGACGGTCTGACAGGGGCGAGGCTGCGAGCACCCGAGGACGGGGCGATTCCCAAAGGCACGGGGTGCAGGCCTCTGGCCAGCCAGTCCCCTCTCCAGACGAGGCCCCGCAGGAGTGGGGCCCTTGTCCCTGACCACCGATCTCATGCCACCTGCGTCAAGGCGGGAGGGGGGAGATTTACGCTGTGGCTTTGCTTCTGCTTAGCTACAATCGCTGCCACGTTTCTGAACACAGAAGACGCTACAGCTGAGAATATTCTCGACGTGGGAACAAGAATTGCAAAAGGCACTTCCGTGGTGAGATCGGCGTAGGCTTCATTTTAGAAAGCAGTTCGCCATCTGGAAGGTACGCACCTTTCCATGTGTAGATCTTTCTTATTCCCGACCAGCATAATAGGTATTCTAGGAAGGGAAGGAAGAAAAAAGCCACAGTAAACCAGGGCCAGACCTGCCTGTTCACAAGACACTACGGTCATGAGGGCATCTGACAAAAGAGAACGAAACTGTTACTACTTACTGCACTTTCCCCACCATGTCCAACAATTTGCCGTGAATAACTTTAATCACTTCAAAACTGTAATACAAAAGCATGAAATCAGACCTCCGTCTTAGTTGGTGTTTTTACATGGTTTTTTTAAATGTTTGTTTATTTCTGAGAGACAGAAAGAGACAGAGCACCAGCAGGCGAGGGGCAGAGAGAGAGGGAGACACAGAATCCGAAGCGGGCTCCAGGCTCCGAGCCGTCAGCACAGAGCCCGACGCGGGGCTGGAACCCACGAACCGCGAGATCATGACGTGGGCCGAAGTCGGACGCTTAACCGACTCAGCCACGCAGGTGCCCCTCCGTGTTTCTTATATAATGTTTCTCGTGGGAAAAACATGGAATGTCACTGACTCACCACTGTAATATAAAATAAAGTGAACCCAAGGAATCTTATAGTTTTTTCCTATAAACCTTCTTTCACGGGGCGCCTGGGTGGCGCAGTCGGTTAAGCGTCCGACTTCAGCCAGGTCACGATCTCGCGGTCCGTGAGTTCGAGCCCCGCGTCAGGCTCTGGGCTGATGGCTCAGAGCCTGGAGCCTGTTTCTGATTCTGTGTCTCCCTCTCTCTCTGCTCCTCCCCCGTTCATGCTCTGCCTCTCTCTGTCCCAAAAATAAATAAACGTTGAAAAAAAAAAAATTTTAAACCTTCTTTCACGTGAGCGTGTGACACTGAGTAACCCTTACTGAGAATATTCAAGATGACGTACATGAGATTATTAGATGGGAAACTCTACCAGTTGGCTGACAAATCACATAAACGCGTATTTTAATCTCTGAATAAACATCTGTAGGATGTTCTGTAGCTAGAGGGCCCTCGCGGTCAGCCCGCCTTCCATGTTAACGTGGTGGAAATGCACAGACAGTAAACCGATTTACGTGGTTGTCATTCCCATTAGCAGAAAAGCTCAGATCACCTAGGCAGCTGGAGGTGAGGAATACAGTTTCCATTCTAGCAGTGCAAGAGAATGTTCATCGGGATACTTTTCCCCCTTAACAACCTGTTTGCTCCACAAGCCAATCACTGAGACGCATTAAGCCTGGTAAGGCTGATGGTTACTACAACCAGTTCCATCATAATCCTTTAGACGGCTGAACGCTATCTATGCAGAGCAAATAAACTCGAAGCAAGCAGCAGGGGGGGATCGTACCTTTTGATTGATGTAACAGAATACACAAGAATATAACCATTAATATCTATGGAGTATGTCTGAGGAAAGATGGAGTATTCATCCTGTGGGAGAAAAATAATTCCATCTGAGTAAAGTCTTCATATAGCATAACAAACAATCTTTACCCAAAGTTTTCCCCATATTACCTGGTCAAAGAAATCAAAGTCAACAAAGAAGTAGATTAAAACATTATTGTAGACACATAGCCCCACACACTGAAGACTTGTTTAAGACTGGTTTGGGGCTGCTAATTGTTTTAAGCTAATATTCAGAAACGATCCTGGCCATTCTAAGGCTTCTGGGGAGAAGGCTAATCACTTCTCCAAGTCCTGGTAGGGAGGATGAAGGAAACGTCAGGGCAACAGGTCCTGCAATCTTACGTGCAGTGAAAGGCACGAACGTTTCTTTTTTATTTATTTATTTATTTATTTTTATTTTTTCAACGTTTTTATTTATTTTTGGGACAGAGAGAGACAGAGCATGAACGGGGGAGGGGCAGAGAGAGAGGGAGACACAGAATCGGAAACAGGCTCCAGGCTCCGAGCCGTCAGCCCAGAGCCCGACGCGGGGCTCGAACTCACGGACCGCGAGATCGTGACCTGGCTGAAGCCGGACGCTTAACCGACTGCGCCATCCAGGCGCCCCTAACGTTTCTTTTACGGACAAAAAGTCCAGAATCTTAGATCTCATGGGAAACTCACGAGTGCTTCTGGTTTATTCCACAAATTTGTGTTTTCATATTTAAAAGTGTTAGGTCATCACTAAACCTGTTCCCTGCACTTGAATCACAAGGGCCCGAATGCCAGTCTATGCGCCATTAATGGGCTGCTACCAGCACTTGAGAGGGTAAGAAGAGAGGAAGAGAATCCAAACGCTACACGTAGGGTACCCGGACTTCCGAGGATCACAGGAGTTACTTACCGAGCAGGTTTAGGAATGAACAACAAAGGTACACGTTATGTGACAATGTATCAGCAGCTACTTTCATAAAGCGGCTTTAGGAGACTCAAATATAAAAGCATTCTAAAGGTCTAATGTCAGTGCAGTTTTCCTTAGTGCACGCCACTGTCTGGTACAAAACATTTTGTTCTCTGGTGAAATGTAACTGTCAACGCGCCGCGTATCCCGAGCAAGCGCTGTTCGCTGTTATATAGAACATCGTGTCAAACCACCATGTTACCAAAGAACTGTCTGTTAACTTTGCAGGTCCACAGGATGATTATAACTAATGTTCACGATGGCCCGCAATTATTACTATTTGCCACAGTAAAGTGTCTTTGAAAAAAACAACAAAGAGTAAGTTTTACTATCAGTTCTTGGTATCATAAATAGTAATCTTTAATTAGAAGATAGCATTTCTACACCACAGCACTCACTACATACACAAAATAAAACGTTTGTTTCATTATTACTTTCAGATTAGTTTCACTAAGTCAAGTTCATTTTACAAAAAAAGTTTTTTTAACGTTTATTTTTGAGAGAGCACGAGCGGGGGAGGGGCAGCGTGAGAGGGAGACACAGAATCCGAAGGGGGCTCCGGGCTCTGAGCTGTCAGCACAGAGCCCGACGAGGGGCTCGAACTCAAACTGTGAGATCATGACCTGAGTCGAAGTCAAACTGTTAACCGGATTATCCCCCCATGTGGTCCCCCCCCCCCCGTTTTTTTTTTTTTTTTTTAACATTTATTTATTTTTGAGAGACAGAGAGAGACAGACAGCATGGATGGGAGAGGAGCAGAGAGAGAGACAGACACAGAATCTGAAGCAGTCTCCAGGCTCCAAGCTGTCACCACAGAGCCCGATGTAGGGCTTGAACCCACAAACTGGGAGATCACGCCTTGAGCCAAAATCAAGGGTCGGGCATTTAACAGACTGAACCACCCAGGCGCACCAGTCAAGTTTATTTTAGTGTTAAATTTTGAGAACATTTTTGTCAATGGAATGATAGATCTTTTCACCCAGATTAAAAACAACATTCCAAATGATTTTAGTCACCAGTTGAGCTACAGGAGATCCAAAGTTCAAATCACCTTTTCCCTGAAGAGAAGATGTGGAAATAAAAGAGTAATCATGATCACATGGGGTGCCTGGGTGGTTCAGTCGGTTAAGCATCCGACTTTGGCTCAGGCTGTGGTCTCACCGTTCATGAGTGCAAGCCCTGCATCGGGCTCTGTGCTGATGGCTCAGAACCTGGAGCCTGCTTTGTGTTCAATATCTCCCTCTCTCTCTCTCTCTCTCTGCCCCTCCCCCGCTCACAATGGGTCTCTCTCTGCCTCTCAAAAATAAACAAACATAAAAAAAAAAAGCTTAAAATAAGAAAAGAGTAATCACATTTCAGAGGCATGGTGCAAGGAACAACTCATTAAAAAGTATATTGGAAGGAAAGGACCTCCGGCTGTAACAGAAACCAAAAAGGACAAAATTTCTAGGAATAAACTTAAGAGAACGAAACTGTACGTTCCAACTGAAAAAGATCTGAAAATCCTCCCAAGAGATAAAACACTTTAAAAACTGCAACAGTGCGCCGAGGTCCTCAGCGTTCACGCGCAGGTCTCCACGGTCCCCACTGGCTGATCCTGAATTAACACATGAATGCAACGTGAGCCCGATAAGAAGTGTCTTTTCCGAGAAATAGCAATTGTAGAAGCAGGTGGGTGAAAAGCACAAAGCTACTTATTTTAAACTTAAAGTAAGTACAGCACTAGTTCAGGAGCGAAGCAGACAGAAATCTACCAAGACCCAGACAGTCAGGGGGATTAGAGATGTGCTCATACCGGCCCTTCAGCTCAGTGAGGGAAAAAGTAACCTTCAACAAAACTGTGCAGGGAACAAGATCAGAAGCTTCTGGAGGTAAATGGCTGAGTCGCATCTCTAACTCACCCTTGGGCAAAAACACATTCCAGAGGAATTGAAGACTGCAAGATTAAAAATGGAAACTGCGTGCAGGGTAGACGGGAGAATTCTTTAAGAATAAAATCAGTTGAAAAGAGAATGATAAATTCAGCTGTGTGAGAACGAGCAAGTTCTTCATGGCTAAGGACCTTTCCAACAGAAATCATAAACTGAAAACAAAACCTTGCGGCTCAGATCACCTACCATGCGCCTTTGCTTCACATTATTACACTTGATCTTAGCCAAAAGGCTGAGAAGCGATTGCTTCACATTATTAAGGGGTCTCTCAAACCCATCAGCAAAGACCATCCGCCCAATAGAAAAAGGGCAAAGTACACGGACAGGATAATTCCCAGAAAAGGAAACACACTTGCCCTCAAACAGGAGAACGTGATCACACTCCTTCGTAAGAAAAATACTCATAAAATGCTACTGGGGCACTATTTTTCACCTAGCGGACTGGCGAGTAACCAGACGTGAAAATGCACTGCGCTGATGGATGTGTCGGGGAACAGGCAGGCACTCGCTCCTTGCTGGTGAGAAGGTAAGCGGCCACCCTATGGCCCAGCGACCCCACAGCCACGACATGTCCTCACACACACACATGGTCTATAATGACACAAGATACGGATCGCAGCGCTGCTGGTGGCACCAAGACTGGAAATGACCCACTTGTTGGTCAACAAAGTACGCTGCGTCCAAACAACAACACGCTACGCAGCAAGTGGAGGGAAAAAGGGCCACAGGGACCCACGTGGAATCACCTCCAAGACAGAGACGCAGGGATAGGTTACTCTCTGTGTAAAAGAGAAAAAATAAAACTACAATTGTATGTTCCAGTACAGAGTATCTGCAAAGCATCTACTAGAAACTGGTCACGGGGCTGTTCATGGAGGGCTGGAGCTAATGCAGCCAGAGCCCCAAAGACCCAAGTGTTACTATTTACCTTTTGGGGTTATTCCAGTTCTGTAACATGGGCATTTATTACTGTTTTTTAAAAACCGGACTTAAGTACGTAATACTTGTTTTTTTAAAAAGGGGGATTTGAGGGGCGCCTGGGTGGCGCAGTCGGTTAAGCGTCCGACTTCAGCCAGGTCATGATCTCGCGGTCCAGGAGTTCGAGCCCCGCGTCAGGCTCTGGGCTGATGGCTCAGAGCCTGGAGCCTGTTTCCGATTCTGTGTCTCCCTCTCTCTCTGCCCCTCCCCCGTTCATGCTCTGTCTCTCTCTGTCGCAAAAATAAATAAATGTTGAAAAAAAATTTTTTTGAAAATAAAAAGGGGGATTTGACACTATAAATATGACTGTCACTGGGGCGCCTGGGTGGCTCGGTCAGTTAAGCGTCCAACTTCAGCGCAGGTCACAATCTCGCGGTCTGTGGGTTCGAGACCCGCGTCGGGCTCTGTGCGGACAGCTCAGAGCCTGGAGCCTGCTTCCGATTCTGGGTCTCCCTCTCCCTCTGTGCCCCTCCCCCACGCATGCTCTGTCTCTCAAAAATGAATAAATGTTAAAAAATTAAAAAAAAAAAAAAAAAAAATGACTGCCACCGGTTTACCTGTCATTGAGTCTACTTCAATTAGGCCCGAACAAAGTATTTCATGCAAACTAAAAACCATCCACTTGTACTTGACCATGTTCACTCCCTCCCCTTGCTGGCAGCAAAACCTGCTACGACATAAACTACCAAGTAGATAGTACTTGCTGCGACAGTGTTCCTCTTAAAACGGGTCAACCGCAAACACGCTATAGACTGTTTGAAGAATCTGCCCTCTCATCACCTTCCCCTGCCATGGGCACTCTTCGCTCCAGCCCCAGCCCCTAGGAATCCAATTTAAGAACAGCTGTAAACGTGTCGTGTTGTCCAGCTGCCACAGAACAAGGTGTTCGCGGTTACAGAACCGCAGCAAAGCAAATGTGCGTGTCGTTAGCATCACGAATCATAAATACGAACACAACCTTTTATTTCAGAGTCTCCCAACTGAACGTAGCCTTGAAGAACTACTAGCTGCAACGAGCACAAGTTATTCGAAGCAGCTGAATTTGGATCCGTTCTGTGCAAAAATTCTCTAATTATTCTGATCTGGCAGTAACAGGCCCAAAGGAGCGCGACAGGCAGAGCTGGTCGCGGACCTTGCTCTCGCCGCCCCTCCCACCATCCACCCGCTCCCCAAGATCTCTGATCCCTTTGGGGTGATTCTTTACTACTCTATCATTAAACAGTTACGGGCATGTGACGCTCAGTGCCAAGCAGAATCCCAGAGGGACACATCTTCTATTCTGATAAGGAGTCAGCATAAAGAAATTTTCTCTAGAGAGATATTTTCAAGGACAGCGCTATTCCAAGGATAAGCGACACCCGCACTCCTCCCATTCAGGGTCATGTTAACATCAACGGAGTTGCCATGCTGGGCATCGCTCTGGTCTTAAGAGCATCAAAGATCTACACGTCAGGACCCAAGCTTCTGGAAGCTCATCAATCTCCTCTAAACCATGCAACAATCCTGTGAAGGCGGGCACTACAGAATCATCTGTTTACAGATGAAGAATCTGAGACCAAGAAAGGTTCATTAACTTTCTCAAGGTCACCAGGCTAGCCAAAAAAAAAAAAAAAAAAAAAAAAAAAAAAAAAAAGCCAGGGTTCAGGATTCAAAAATCCAGGCAGCACGACTGCAGAGACCACGTTCCAAACTATGAAACACTGGTTTCTCCTTCTGGCCTATTATAAAATGAATTTCTATAGTAACATTACACGAAAGCGATTTACTGATTTACATCCTCACCCCCATTTTCCAGAAGCTTTAACAAAAATTCTAAACGAAGACATAAACAGCAAAGCAGGATCTTGGTAAAGTCAGAGGCCCACTATGAACGGAGTGCCTGTTATTTCTTCGCCCAGGACCCTATCCGTTAACACCTGCTGTTCTAGCATAATTGTTAACAGGGCTCCCTTCACTCTTAGTTGTTTTAGGCAATAAATTGTACCGGTCACCTTAACCACGAAAGACACAAACTCTAAGAATCGAACGCAACGTCGGACCCCAGAGGCTCTCCTACAGTGACTTCTAAGATAAGCTCTGTCCTCTAGGTCACGACTCCCCTATGGAGACTCTGTTCCTCTTCTGCTTTACGCCCCAAACTCCCCTTCGGTCACTGGACAGGTACCCTGCAGAGTCAAAGTCCAGGATGGCTCTGCTCTAAGACAGCCATCGTGAGATCTGAGGACGGAAGCCCATTATACCGATTACCCAGTGGCCTGCAGGGTGAATGAGGGAGTCACGTGGCATACCCCTGGGACGTGCACATTTGATTTATTTTCCTTGAAGCTTCCAGAATTGAAACTCCAGGGTTCCTTTGGTGCTCAAACCACTCAATATAGCTATTGCTTCACTAGGGGGCTACCCTTTGCTTCTATGTTCACTTCAGAACTTAAGGGTGGGGAGGGGGGTTCATTCCAAACTCACATGACGGGTCACATCATTCTACCTCAATCTTCCCAGGTTCCAGAAAAAAAAGCCTCCGTTTAACATGGCAGATCAGGTTACGCTACACGCGCTTCCCTGCTAGTCTGATCCTCTGTCGATCGTAAGAAACAAGGCAGGACTCGGACGACATCCCAGCCTCTTGAAGGTCCCACTCCAGCAACTGTAATAGATCTGGCCCAACAGAACGGCTTCTAGTAAAAGCCGGACCAGGTGCCACGGGAATGGGTGAAGTTCAGCCGCCAGGGTTAGGAGTTTCTTTGTACTCTTCAAGTTCTCTGAACTTCTTTCACCCACTGGTTCTAGTCAATTCCCCTGGCCATCCTCCGCCAAATCCCTGCTACATTAACCCGTGAAGACCTTTTTTTTTTTTTTGGTTGTTTAATCTTTGGCAATGACTTACTGCCTAGCAAATCAAATCAACACTCCTTAAGCTCGTGATCATGTCATCCATCTAGAAGTCACCTCATTTCTGCCCTATACCTTTCTCATCCCTTTCCCCAGGAAAAGACTTAACTTTTGTTTTTCTAAAGAAATTGTTGTATGTTTTCATTTATTTTTGAGAGAGTGAGAGTGCGAGCAGGGGAGGGGCAGAGAGAGAGGGAGACACAGAATCCGAAGCGGGCTCCAGGCTCCGAGCTGTCAGCACAGAGCCCGATGCGGGGCTCGAACCCACGGACCGTGAGATCATGACCTGAGCCAAAATCGGAGGCTCAACCGACCGAGCCACCCGGGCGCCCCTACTTTTTTTCTCCTTAATGTAGAAAGGGAGGAAAAGCACTATAGGATTCTGACATAAAATGCAAGTTTAAAAAACAGAAATACAATATCCTATGATATATACAAACCTTCCTGATGCTATGAGTGCATTTAACACAATTCTAGAGTAGAACAACAAATTAATGATTCGGAAAAACTGCCACAAATGTCTTAGAAGACAGCCTGTTAATATTCAGGCACACATAAATCAGGAGGGGCTTTCCTGGCATCACTGTTGCGTTTAAGCATCAACGGCAGGGCCGGGACCGCTAGACAGAGGACAGCGGAAGGGGACTCTGAGACACCAGACTTACTTGTCCAGCTGTGTCAACAAGCTGAAGATGATATTCTTGTCCATTTACTGTGATCAATTTTGTGAAAGCTACAGGGAAAAAGGGAATTAAATATTAGTAAAAAGAATTGACTTTAGATCAGTTAAAGCTTGAACACCGACCACCGATTAAGAAGAGCCCCTAATCGTTTCATAAAAAGATCCCACAAAGCAAAATGGAACAGATCTGAGTTTACAGATTCTCCCCTCTTCCATTATTTAAGTAACAGATACTGGCTGATGGATGAAAATCCAGCCTCGGTACACCTTGAACCTCGTTCCATGAAACTGAAATTAGGCAACAATTCATATGCTGTAAAAGTCATGTGAGTGCTCCGTGGCTTACACCTTCCTCTGTGAAAAAGAGAAATACATTACATAAAGTGTGAGGTCTAGAATGGACCCAAAGCACAAAACCTTTCATTAATGTAGAAGTCTGGCGTCAGAGCACAAACAGCTAATATTAACTGAAGTGTTAAGAACGTCCAGTACATAAAAAAAATGATCAATTTCATCGACATAAAACGGCAACGGCACAGGTGTTCTGCATGAAAGCCATCATTCCCACGTAGCTTAAGCATCTGAGCAATTTGTGACAATCTCTCTTCCCTACCAAGGGGGGGAGAAAAACCAGACTCATAACTTCCGGAAAAGTCCATTCAGAATCCCGAGGAGACAGACTTCAAACAAATGTAGACAAAAGAGGAAAAGAACTATTAATAGTAAGAGAATATTGAAGAGTAACCATCTGGAACCCTGACAGCAGAACGGAACTTATTTCTTTTGCGTCCATGGTCCCGGCCATCTTCACTTAAGACGCGTCGTTGGATCTCCTGGCTGGCCACTCGACTGGACCAGAACCGGGCCACAGAATCGGTCCCTTGCACAGCTGGGAGAGGACCCGCTGTTGTCCACTTTATCCCACAGCCAAAGGGGAAAGCACAGCAGACATATGAAAATTATGAGAGAAAACTGGGAAGTGACCAGGGGGACAGAGAAGAGACCTTCCCTGGAGGAGGAGTTCCACGGGAGCACTCCCCTACGGCCAGCAGGGGTGCTAGAATCGGGAGGAAAGACCACAGACCAGGCCAGCCACACCAGTTGCCACATTTTTTCTCCCTTCATTTGCATGCCTTAATGGAGACTACCACTTTAGAGAATAATTTCACCAGATGAAAACCGAATCCAAATGATTTCAAGATAGGGAGTACACAACATAATGTGTTTCATCAATTTGATTGCATTTTTCTTCCACACTGGAACTTCTCTGAACGTGGGGTGCACCTGGCCTTGACTGTGCTTTTGATCACTATCAGCCAGGGGGCAGTCATGATGCTCCTGTGTGAAAACCTGCCACTGACACCTTAGTTGGGGAAGATCAAAAAGTATATTCAAGACGATGAAATTTATGTAAGGAACCGTGATGAGCAGTAAAACAAGTAACCTTCAATTAGATTTAAGTAACTGTGGTTATGAAGTATGACATAATTATTATGACAACACTACTAAACAAAACAGCACTCATTCACGCAAGAGCTCTTTCTTGAGTACCTATGATCGCCAGGAGCACTGTTCTCGGAGCTCGAAATACTGCAGCTGACCTCAGCGTGCTTACAGCCCCAGGGGAAGGAAGGGAGACACCGTCAGGCACGTCTTTGGGAGAAGAGCATCCGGAGGTCAAAGAGCAAGTGCCAAAGCCCGGCGAGAAGCAAGATCAGCACAGAAGCGGAGAGAGTGCTGGGGCGGTAACCAGGCTGGGGAGGAGGCAGAGGACCTTTTAGGAGATGGTAAGGACTTCAGAGTTTCATTCTAAATGTGCTGGGAAACCAAGGGTTCTGAGGCAGGGGAGTGACTTGGTCTGATTTATATTTTAAAGAGCTCGCTCTGGCCATGCTGTGAATAAGAGAAATGGACAAGAAGGGACCAAGGACATTGGTGGGGGTCCATAATATAGTGCTTACGTAGACTCGGGATCTGAAGACAACGATGGTGGTCTGGGACCAGAGAGCCATGGTGGAATTCAAAGGGAGAGCCAAAAGGATGAAAACAAAATTTTTTAAATGTTTACTTTTGAGAGACAGAGCGAGAGTGCGCGAGCACAAGCAGGGAGAGGCAGAGAGAGAGAGACACAGAATCCGAAGCAGGCTCCAGGCTCTGAGCTGTCGGCACAGAGCCCGACGTGCGGTTCAAACTCAGGAACCAAGAGATCATGACCTGAGCCGAAGTCGGATGCTCAACCGACTGAGCCAACCAAGTGCCCTGAGCCAAAAGGATTTCTGGCTGGAGGCAGGGTGTGAGAAAATGGAGAGGTGGGAGGACTCCAGAGTTTTTGGCTTGAGCCACGAGATGCATGAATTGCCATTTGCCAATTCGGGAAAGCCCGGGGAAGGAGCGCTGCAGATGGGGGAGGAAGCAAAGGAAGACGACTACACCCAAGGGGAAGGGAGGGCAGCTGAACAGAAAAGCCCAGAGTCTGGGGGAGAGGGTGCGACTGGGGGTTTTGGGAAACAAGCAAACTTCTGGGAAGAAGGGAAGATCGCTGGCGATCAAGTCCCGCGAAAGCCCTAGCCGGACTTTGGAGCCCAGGGCCCCCCGATACTGCCAGGTCAGGAAGATCAAGATTCAGCCAAGGAGACGGGAGAAATACTGGCCACGAGGGAAGAGTCAAACGGGACGACACGTAATTGTACAGAAGATAAAGGAAATGAAGCTATTGATCAATGTGTTAGTATATCCTTGCACATAAAAAGGATGTAAATCCTCCTACACACAGCAGTAAAATGAAATCGAGGCCTTTCCATCTGTCATGGAAAACTGCCTCTTCTTATTACTATAGAAAAAAAGGAAGTGTAATAAGAGAGCTGTCCGCTCCATAAACTAGGAACCAATTCTTCTACGCACTCCATGTTCGATCCTGCACAGCAGTGGAAAGCTGGCTTTCTCCTGGCATCGCTTTCCTCGAGCCCTCTCTCCGCCCCCCTCCCTTTTTCAATCACTAGAGAAATTAACCCACTTCCCCCAACGAAAATCCTGAAACTGCCCTAAGCAAGGCTAACAGTGACGTATTCGTAGAGCCTACTAATGAGGGACAGATTTCTAAGATTTGGAATGCGCCAAATAAGATCTGTGTTCCTGAAGTGTATCACAATCTCCTAATTCGTATCCTACTGAGAAGGCTACCCACCATGCAATGCTTGATAATGCTGCAAAACTCCTAATTAGAACGGTCCCGTTTTCTCAGCTTTATTAACGCATCAACGGTACTACCTGGAAATGGCAGAAGTTGTAAATCACTACTATTTTTCCTCCTCTAATCGACCAACTACCCCTACTGGTTAAATCTCACCAGAGCAATTTAGTTTGTATTGAGTTGTTAGATTAACAACACGGTAGACAATCTACCCATTTGCGTAGGTAGTATTTTTGGCATAAAAACATCCCCAAGCTAGAAAAATACAGGGTTTTATTAATGTTATTCTCCTACATTCCATTTTCTTTTATTAAAAAAAAATTTTTTTTTAATGTTTATTTTTGAGAGAGAAAGAGCGTAAGCTGGGGAGGGGCAGAGAGAGAGGGAGACACAGAACCGGAAGCAGGCTCCAGGCTCGGAGCGGTCAGCACAGAGCCCGATGCGGGGCTTGAAATCATGACCTGGGCCAAAGTCGGGACACCTAACCGACTGAGCCACCCAGGCGCCCCCTCCTATATTCCATTTTAAAAGAAGATGAGACAGTCTCAGAAGTTTGGCTTTTGTGGTAATGTCTCAGAGATGCGTCACCACTGAATGTTTGCTATGAACCACCTGTTCTATGTTCTGAAGTTAAGTGCAAAATAATTACCGGATTCTTTCCATATTTACAGAGTACTGTTTTTTTTTTTTTTTTTTCAAACCTTAAAACCATCCATTCGTTGGCAACAGGTTTATGATAACCTGTTCCATTTCTAATTCCCTGTCATCACTGAGCAATGTTTATTTTATTGTTAATGTTTATTTATTTTTGAGAAAGAGAGAGAGAGAGAGAGAGACAGAGTGGGAGCAGGGGAGGGGCAGAGAGAGAGAGAGAGAGAGAGAGAGACAGAATCTGAAGAAGGTTCTAGGCTCTGAGCTGTGAGCACAGAGCCCGACTCGGGGCTCGAACCCACAAACCATTAGATCATGACCTGAGCCGAAGTTGGGACGCTCAACCAACTGAGCCACCCAGGAGCCCCTACTGAACGATGTTTCTGACCAAACAGCACAGGAAACAGTGGAGAAAGGGTTTCTTCCTGGGTTGGTCAGAAGCAGGGTAAACAGAAGCTGATGTGTGCATACAACTCATGAACTTTTAAGCGATTCATATACCCTGACACTCATTTTCGCTCCTGCCTAAAGACTTTAATAAATATTCCAAATTCATTTTTGAGATGAAAAAATAAAAGTCTTTTTTATTGAACACGAAGTAGTAGGAAACATTAAAAATACGATTAAAGATGTTGACAGACTTCAGGTTGGGTCATTCAATTTCTAAGATGATATCAAAGTAAGGAAGCTGGACGTTCACTGGATCTTTTACTTACATATAAAGAAAATATATCTGTACACAACACCATGGCTTTCCTTCCACCTTAGTTATAAATGGCACATAAACACTCAAAAATAAGAACCACCTTTATAGGCAGGCCTAACCAAGAAAACTGTACTGTATTATTCTGTGAATAAAATGCCCAAATGAGACTTATCTTAAGGATACACAACTCTTTAAGTTGTTATGTACAGCAAATGTTAAGACCAAGAGCACGATTTGCTTGTGTTCTTATTCCAATGGAGAGATAACCAAACTTGTCCACCTAGCACTCAAATTTGTTTTACATTTATTCATTTTTGAGAGCCAGAGAGAGACAGCACACAAGCGGGGTAGGGGCAGAGAGAGAGGGAGGCACAGGATCCGAAGCAGGCTCCAGGCTCCGAGCCGTCAGCACAGAGCCCGATGCGGGGCTCGAACTCACGAACGGCGAGATCGTGACCCGAGCCGAAGTCAGACGCCCCACCGACTGAGCCACCCGGGCGCCCCTGTCCACCTAGGATTCAAATTCATCTGCTCCTCACACCGGCGTACTGTTCTGTAAGTCACAGCCAAACAGATCAGCACAGGATGTGCCCGTAGTCAGGACTCTTCCTTTCTGGACACTGGCCGAGCTTACTTTCAAACCCGGGTCTTCCCAGGGCCAGTTCCCCGACAGGTTTCCTTCCCCGCTACCAGCATACTGGGACATGAGGGACAGCTGCATGTTTTAAGTCAGAGGTGGGCAAACTCTTCCTATAAAGGGCCAGATGCTACTGTAGAACAAAAGCAGCCACAGACACTACGTAAATGAATGAATATGGCTGGGTTCCGATAAAACTTTATGGACGCTAAAGCCTGAATTTCACGTAACTTTCACATGTCCCAAATATTCTTCTTCTCTTAAACCTTTTTTAATGATTAAAAAATGTAAAAACCAAAAAAAAAAAAAAAAAAGTAAAAACCATTCTTTGCTCATGGGCTGTACAAAAAGGCAGTGGGTCTTTCTGGCCTACAAGCCATAGTCTGTCAACCCCCCTGTCGTAAGCCTCTTTGGAAATCTCTCTCGTGAGCGCCGGGCAGATGAGATCTATGAATCTAGTTCACGAACCTGACCGTTAAGTCGGCTTCATGTCTAATGTGCCCATCAGGGTTTGATGAATCCCATGTTTAAATGTGTGTGTTCCTGGTGACAAATCCTGGGGAAGCCCAGGTGCCAAGAATCTCAGAAGACTAGTTCTAGGGCCTACTTAGGGTTTTAAGATCACCCGAAACGAGCAGCTTCCGATAAATCAGCTTCTCTGCATGAAGTGCTTTAGATTTTCCTCCATGACTCTAGAATCAAGACCTCTCTCATGGTCCTAGAATCCTTCAAGAAGATTCTGAAACCATGGACTGAAACCGGACAAGGTAAATGAAGGTTGTGGTTGGTCCCGGTCTTTGGGGCTTTTCTCTGCGCGTGGCCAGAAATGCCAACAGGCTTTAGAACCAACTTTGTTTTCACGCTGCAACTGCTCTCTCCATCCCAGAATCGCTCACTACTCCACAGCCTTGACTTTCAAGTGTTCATGACTGGAAGGGGTTGGGGGGCTGCGGGGGAGGGGGCTGGGAGGGCTGGTGATTCCGTGTAAGAGTAAGGTACAAAGGAACTAGAGTGTTTTCATCCTTCCTTTTCAAGCTTGGAATCCTTAAAAAGGGCTACTGTTGAGAAGAAGGGGGGGGGGAGGGTGCGGAGATTGTGTGCTCTCTTCTTGTTTTCCTGAAGCAGAGTCTGGGACAGGAGGTTCACTGTAGGACTGGATTCCTATGGAACTGAATAACAATTTCTCGATGGAGGGATTTGGATACTAAGTAAAAAATCCATTCAGTGTGAAGCGGGTCAAACTTCTGGAAGCTTTTCTGGACCCCCGTTGGAAATCTATAGGTTTACCCCAATAACCCCTGCAATCAAAGCTTCCAGAAGTACACAATGGCTGTTTGTATGTAGAATGTAGGCTTCTCAGTTTATAAACCCTTGAAAACAATACTTACTGTTTTCTATGGTTGGGTCGTAGGAGTCAACAAATTGGCCTTCAACAAACTGAATCGTCAATGAGGATTTCCCTATAAAAGAGAGCAAAAGCTCAGTATGTATTTGCATATTAAGGTAAAAAAAAATTCTACTATTTTACAAAAAAACCCCACTCTAACAAGATGAAGAAACGGAAAGTACTGGGATCAGAACACCTGCCTTTAAATAAGCCTTTGGGCAATTTCAAAAAGGAAATAAAATTTCAAGAATCTGCTTTCTAGGAGAGGAATTTAACCAATTAAGCTATTATGAATTAAAACACTTTTGTGACATTAACAAATATTACTGACCAGCAAACGTTTCACATATTCTGTTAAAGGTAAACTCTGCAATAAGGTCTAAACTAAGCTAATTTCCTCTGGTGTCCCTGAAATGTGGGTATTAATTTTAATACAGAAATTATTAAGACAGGATTTGTTTCTTTGGGCTCTTTCCTATGTGGCTGTTAGAAATGTTACCAGGTACAGCTTTTAATTTTTTCTTTTTAACGTTTATTTATTTTTGAGACAGAGACAGAGCATGAATGGGGGAGGGTCAGAGAGAGAGGGAGACACAGAATCCGAAGCAGGCTCCAGGCTCTGAGCTGTCAGCCCAGAGCCCGACGCGGGGCTCGAACTCACAGACCATGAGATCATGACCCGAGCTGAAGTCGGACACTTAACCGATGGAGCCACCCAGGTGCCCCTAATTTTTTTTTTTAACGTTTATTTATCTTGCCAGAGAGAGAGAGAGAGAGAGAGAGAGAGAGAGAGCGCGAGCGAGCGAGCATGAGCGGGGGAGGGACAGCGAGAGAGGGAGACACAGAATCTGAAGCACATTCCAGGCTCTGAGCCGTCAGCACAGAGCCTGACGCGGGGCTTGAACTCACAGACTGCGAGATCATGACCTGAGCCGAAGTCGGACGCTCAACTGACTGAGCCACCCAGGCACCCCTCCAGGTACAGCTTTTAAAGAGGGTAATGTGAGACATGTAAAAGAAGTCTTTAAAAAACTCCTCGAAGGCAGAAATCCTGCCTGAACCATTCAGTCTCAAAAGCCTAGTGATGTCTGGCACACACAAAATAATGAAGAAATGTTCTGGACTTTATAATAAAATCACTTTCTCATAATTGAGCCTATGTGCTAACCAATCAAGAGCCGGAGGCTTAAGTTCTCAACTATTTAATGCCTAAAATTTCACCTGCTGGACTTCAGAACGGGGCACTCTGTAAAGATAGTGTGAGAACAGTCCAGGAAATGATGTAAGTGTTCCCCCCCCCCCCCCAATTTCACCCCAAACACTTTCTTCTCTCGTATGTCTCCCAGAGCACTAGTGTTTTTTGGGTAAGATTTAATTTTTTAACTAATCTCTACACCCAGTGTGGGACTTGAACCTACAACCCCGAGGTCAAGAATAGCATGCTCTTGGGGCGCCTGGGTGGCGCAGTCGGTTAAGCGTCCGACTTCAGCCAGGTCACGATCTTGCGGTCCGTGAGTTCGAGCCCCGCGTCAGGCTCTGGGCTGATGGCTCAGAGCCTGGAGCCTGTTTCCGATTCTGTGTCTCCCTCTCTCTCTGCCCCTCCCCCGTTCATGCTCTGTCTCTCTCTGTCCCAAAAATAAATAAACGTTTAAAAAAAAAATTAAAAAAAAAAAAAAAAAAAAAAAAGAATAGCATGCTCTTCAGATTGAGCCAGCCAGGCGCTCCCTATTAACTTTACACACACGCTCTACATGTTCGCTGCATCTCACCGGACTTTTATCTCAAAAGACCTTCAGGGAGAGAGGTTTGCACCAGGAGCCTTCTGCTTCTGAGGGGTTTCGGTTGGCACGTTTTCATAACACGGGCAGCACCCCCCCCCATACTTAGAAATTAATGAATTAATAAACTGGTTTACAAGTGGGAGCTGCGGGGAGACAACTAGAAACCCCCCAAGTTGGCAGGACTATTTTACTCCTCACGGGCAGTTAAACACACAGTTCAAAGTGTTTCTAGAATTATTAAAACCCGAAATCATTGTCTACAGAAGCAGCCTACAAGAGCTTTTGACAATTAAAAGTTACCTCCCTGCTTTAAATCCTCATTTCAATTAGAATAAATTTCCTGGGGCACCTGGGTGGCTCAGCAGTCGGTTAAGCGGCTGACTTTGGCTCAGGTCATGATCTCACAGTTCATGAGTTCGAGCCCTGCACTGGGTTCTCTCTGTCCCCATCTCTCTCTCTGCCCCTCCCCTGCTTGCTTCCTAGCTCTCCCTCTGTCAAGAATAAAGTAAACATTAAAAATTAAAAAAAGAGTAAGCTCCCAAATCCCAACCAGGCCGGGCCCTGCTCCGTCTACCCTCCCCCACCCCCCCCAACCTCTCTGCTGCCCCTCCCCAGACCCTCCCGGGCCCATTTGGCACATCCCCCTCTGTCCCTCTGTTCTAGCATTCTCTGCACACGACTCACTTTTGTCATTACTTTGGGAGCTCAATGGCCCTTCTTCAGAGATGCCTCTGCTAAGACCACCCCATCTAAGGTGGCACCCACTCCCTAAGGGTCACTCTATCACAGCCATCCTGCTTTTTCTCCGTAGTGCTTGACGTTATCGGACACGGTCTTCGCTCATTAGCCTCCGGAGACCAGTATGGTGACTGAGGGGTACAGCAGACGCTCAGGTTTTGGAACGAATGAATGAGATTAAAACTTACGTGTCCAAAGGGCACTCTCACGCATTCTGGATGTTATAAAAGATCTCAATTTTATACCCAAGGCAAGGAAAGACAGTTCAACAGGAATTAAGAAACAGTTATTTAGTATTTATTTTGGTATCGAACCACGAGCCTGCCTGTGCTATGTGGAATACGGGGTCATCCAGGAGCCCACACGTTTCAAAGGGACTGTGTTCAAAAGAAAGCATGTTATCGAAGCTAGTTCATAAAGAGCATTTAAGTTAACAGACAGCAAACCTATTTTATGTAAGGAAACAGCAAGAGAAAAAAGTCTACTAAGTCAGCCAAACTGAAAAAATTTAAAGGAGTAGGAAAATTCTTATTTATACTGAATGCTACTGCTTCAAGCAAAAGACATTTAATTGGAAAGGAAAGAGAGAAAGAAACTTCTTTAGGGCTTCTAAGGGGACTTCTGGGCCCTCCGGTGGGCACTCTGACACCCCTAGGTAGGCTAAGGGAGGGTTTTGGCTTGTACATGGAAAGAAGGAAGGAAGCACAATGTAATTTTTCTTAAAGATAAATGGGCAAGAGTTACAAGGGCTTCAGAGGATTTTTACACCTTTTCCCAAGTAGAACCGGGTTAAGAACAGTGGAAGAAAGGGGTTGCCCATGACACCCATGATGAGCCCCTCCGAGAGGAGGCAGGAAACACGGAAACACAGCTCAGAGTGGTGCCAGGTAAGCTTCAAGGGCCTCACTTGCAGGGGTGAAGGGGCAGAGAGCGCAGAGCCTCGGAAGTTATCCCAGGAAACTTAAGAAATTCAAGAAGACACACGTTTAACAAGACAGCATGACATTAAGTGCAACGACGGAGTATTACATAAACCAGCGGCCCACGTTTTAAAAATACAATTCCTGGCGCGCGTCCAAAGAGGAGTTTCTCACATATGTCATGAAGGGCGTGAATTATACAAAAGGCTAAATTAACACTGCACTTGAAAACACGGATAATCATTCTGGCGAAAGGCAGACAGTGGAGTCCAACGCAAATCACAGTGCGGGTTGACACAGCAAACTCTCGTCTTGGCAAGTAACTGGGACACCCGAATTTAAAGCCCCGGTCTTCAGGGAGCCAACTGGCTTTCTGCATCTGCCTGGTCCTGGGAGAAGGGAACCATCCATTAGCAGAGGCAGGAGGGCTCTGGCCTCCCCTGGGGTCTCTCCTCCTCTGCACTCTCCCCTAGGGGGAGGTGATTAATTATTTAAATGAAGAAGGGACAGGAAGACCACGTTTGCTGATAGGACACAGCGGGTTTCTCTGCCGTTTCCATTAAAAAGTCGAATTACGGGGCACCTGGGTGGCTCGGTCGGTTGGGCGTCCGACTTCAGCTCGGGTCGTGATCTCGCAGTTGATGAGTTCGAGCCTCGCATCGGGCTGTGTGCTGGCGGCTCAGAGCCTGGAGCCTGCTTCTGATTCTGTGTCTCCCTCTCTGTGTCCCTCCCCCGCTTATGCTCGGTCTTTCTCTGTCTCAAAAATAAAGATAAACGTTAAAAAAAAAAAAATAAAAAAAAAAAATAAAAAGTCGCATTATTAGGCAGCCAGTGTTGAGACCTTTATATTAATGGTAGTAAACACATCCCACTTTTCATAACGTCCTTAGCCTCGCTTCCAGCAATTTCTGGCTTTCAGGGACCTCCTCGTCCTCTAGAGCAGTTTGCAGCTACAAAAGGCATTGCTGATCCACAAATGATACTCTTTTTAAACACAAAATTTTTTTTTAATGTTTATTTTTGAGAGCAAGAGCAAGAGTGCGAGAGAATGTGAGAGATAGAGCAAGAGCAAGGGAGGGGAAGACACAGAATCTGAAACAGGCCCCAAGCTCTGAGGGGTCAGCACAGAGCCTGATGTGGGGCTCGAGCTCACAAACTGCGAGAAATCACGACCTAAGCCGAAGTGGGCCACTTAACCGCCTGAGCCACCCAGGCGCCTCCACAAGTGATATTCTTGATCACCTTTAACATTTTCCCTTCGTTATAACGTCATAAATTTACTGTGGCCTTTACATTTATCAAATTCAGATTCTGAAACACTAGTTACTTCCTGAAGACGTTTCAGCAACAATCGTGCTCTCAGTAGGCTCATAAATTTGTACGATCTGAGAAGACCCTCAAATTCCAGATCAACTCTCTGGAGAAATGTATGAAAACACATGAGCGATCTGAAAGAAAATAAAAGGCACCACATACGCAGATGTGTGTTATTAACGCACAGAGGGGCGCAGATCACTCATTTTATGACATATCGTAGTACTAAAAAGGTTTGAAGGGGCGCCTGGGTGGCGCAGTCGGTTAAGCGTCCGACTTCAGCCAGGTCACGATCTCGCAGTTCGTGGGTTCGAGCCCCG